TAAGTAAGCTAAACAAAAGAGGGGAAAAAGTTCATGAAATTAATTGGTTAATTATAGTTTACGTTTGAAGTAACAATAATCAATGATTGGTGAGGTTTAAGTACGGTTTTTTTAAAGACATCATATGACCCTGTGACTATTTGCCCCTTAGATTGCCCAAAATAACCCTTTTTTTAATTTAAAAAAAAAAAAGAAGAAGTTTTAGATGATCCTAAATCGGAAAAAAAAATCTTATTCTTATTTTTTAAAATCAAAATATTATATAATTTAAATTATATTAAATTATATTAAATTATATAATATTAATTATTAAATAAAAATAAAATTTTTTGATATTAAAAATTTTTATTTAATTATTTATATTTTACTATATAATATATTTTAAATTATAAAATAAGATTCTTATTATCATATCTTTTTAAAGTCAGAACTATTGTTGCGGTTCTTCTTATAGGTAATCATATTGCTTTCGGGAGGAAGCGCCCATCAACTAGGAAAGGACGCGTTAAAGCGGGACCGAAGTATCAAATTTAGTGGAAGAAAATTCTCTTCTGATAAAAAGAGAGAACCAATTCCATTGTGAAAGAGAAGAAAAGCATAAATTAAAAAAAGGTTAGTTGCATGAATTTAAAAATAAATAAATAAATAAAATAAAAAGAGAAGGAGAGATGAAAAGTGTCATGTCATGTGGTACGAAAGCCGCATGTGATCCCTCCCATACTTTCAGAATTGCATTTTCATTCAATAGCTGTGAGTTGACAAGACCCCCCCTAATGGATCCTGTACAAAAGAAGACACCCTTTCTTCCTCCAACCTTGATGCATAATATCTCCCATTCCATCTTTGTTTTCACTTACTAAGGTTGAACAACTAGCATAATTTAAACATAAAATTATAGCCTTCAATATTTATAATCGAGATAATTTGTAAGTATATACAAAATTAATCAGAGATCAAAATCCAGGAACCCATGATATAAAATTATAACACAAAATTTAAAACATTGATCATCAAAGGAAAAGTAGTAACTTTGAAGATCATAGATGGAATATATGTATTTTTTCCCATCTTCATAACTAGCAAAAAGGAAATTAACATTGATCCCTAACATATTTTTTCTCTTGATATGTACAATTAGGAACTGAGAAGGGAAAAACCCCAGAAAGCTTGATGTATAATTTCCTTCAAGAAAAGATTGATTAAGCTAGCTTAGTCATGCCAGCAAAGGAGCATGACCACACATCTTTGGATAATGTAAAGCTTTCCCTTTTGCTCTCTAAGATACCCTCCTAGCCTTCTGCATGACATCTTCTTCTTTGAGTCTCTCATGGTTTGAGTACTAGAGCTTCTGCTGCTATTCTTCATCTTCTCTCTTTTCTTGATGGGTTGTGTTTGGCAAGACAGAAAATGAGGGAAAATGTGAATGAAAGGGGAAGAGTTCAGGGAGTTTGGAGGTTCTTTCTTTGTTTCAAGTGAGGGGAAAAAGGGTGGTCTTATAGAGAAAAAGAATGGTTGAGATTCCACCGGAAGAATGCATAAAAAAATCTTTTAAAATACTTTTCTATCTTTAATGTTAGTTTTTTCCTCTTTAATGTCACACGTCATCATGTAGATAAAAATTTAATAATTTGGGGGATTTACCGGTACAAGATGATTGGTCGGCCATTGAAGCTTCGAGGAGACTAATTAAATTAAATTTTGTTTGAAGGTAAAGTTTTTTTCTTTTTTCTTTTT